AGAGATGATGAAAACCATAATTAGATGGCAGCTGCCTAATTCTGGTGTGTGCTTTTACTGTCTGATTCAAAATTGGGTTTACTTGACAAAAAAATTCTGGGCTTTTTTCTGTTGTAAGTGAATAAAGAAACATACTGATTGGTGCCATTTCAAGTAATAAACACAAAAAGCTAAAAGGGAGTTGGATAGCAGAAGTCCTATATAACATGTGGCTAATTAAAACTAAGCATATCACTGGGATTTTAATATTATATCAATAGACTTGTAGCTGTCTATTAGATTAAAAGGCACAGGATTGATTTCTCAAAAATCCTCTATTAACATAGAATCAACATGGGAAATCTTAATCATAATTTGGAAAAGCAAGTGTAGTAAAAGTATCACATTCATTATAAAACTGATAAATGACAAAAAGTGGCATAAATTTCATTTCACGCTTATGGTGTATTGCACTGGGAGCTGAATTGAAGGCTCTGGTTGTGATTTATATGCCACTAATAGGGTCTATTCTGGGTTATGTTTTTCAGATTTATGGCCCCCTCTCCCACTGTTAAACTGCAGTTGGAAAGGATTAAAACATTAGTTCCTTAAGTGTATATACAGGCACGTGTAGGTATACTTTTTAGCTGGTTAGAGCAAAGATCTCCCTTTCTAATGCTAAATCATTAAATAATAATGTAATATTACATGCAATATGTAATAATACACATCATGAAAACGTGTATTCAGACTATACGATTTTTAACAATGAAGTATGCACATACTCATATCTGCTGATTTTAATCTGGAAACTGGCCAGTTCAACAGAAGTGTCCCTAGTCCTCCACCAGCTTCTGCATCAAAACTATTTAAAGCTCAAACCTTTCTCAGGTGTCTCTGGGGCAGACTAGTGTTGCGCTTCCCCTCGCATCCCAGTAGTATCTATTTAAAGTGTAGAGCCCAGCTCCGGTGCTCAGTACTTTGAATCAGTAGAGGGTTTTTTTTGCTTGAGAGAGGGATGCAGAAGCTAAGGTGTTTTGTTCTTGCTTTATTTGAGAAAACAATCTCACCCTCTTTGACAGTGAATAATAACATTGCTGTTTAAATAGTATCAACTATTCATCATGTGTCACCGTAAAGAGACTTCAGCAGCTGGTGACATTCTTAAAACAGTTATCCGTAAATTAAAGGATGAGAACATGCTTATTCTCCCTCTTTTCCAGCTGATTTGGAAACACTGGACCTCCCTGTTTATGAGTTTTTAAGGAAGAAGGGGCACTTCCCGAGCTCTGTTAGATGACATTGCTCCTCCTACTCCTGCTGTTGTGCTGGTGTAGTAAGTCTGTGCTGATTTACACCAGATGAGCATCTGCAGCACAGCTACACTGTAGTGATGTTGTCTTCAGTCGGGAAACATTCGTGGCCTTATTAAAGCTTATTTCAGGGGATTAATTTGATTTGTTCTAGTGTATTTCCCAGGCTTCTGACATCGTTTGTAGACCCAGTTCTCCTGTGAGCTCAAGGCAGGCAGCTTCTTACATCAGTCTGCAGCTCTGCTGTCCGACTTCACTAGCCTTTAGAATACTTAACGACACAATTTCCACACAAGAAATATAATTAAAATAACGGTAAAGCCATTGTCTTGTGGGCAGATTTCTTATATCCAAACCTCAGCTCAGTTACATGTTACAAAATAACCAGGAGCATCCTAGAAGAACAGCACAGAGTGCTCAACTTTGGTCATTTTCTCATCTCGAAAATCGTTCTAATTCCCAGAAATGACAGTCTACAACCAAGCCACCTGATTTCAGCAGCAGCGAATTATTTTAAGTTTTAAAAAGCACTTATGTTAATGAACAAAAAAACTGTGATAAAAACAGGTTTTTGCTGTTATAATGTTATGCTTAGGGAAATCCTTATCATTAAAAACTACCTGAGAAGCATATTAATGTAGAGAATTTCAACAAATCATCACTTGTATCCTAATTAGGTAAGAAAAAAAGGGAAAAAAAGTGCTCATCATAGCTGAATTGTACAAAGTGTGCTTGATTTAATTAATTATCAACCCTGTTCATTAGGGTCCTCCAGGACCATCTCTTAATAGAAACCTTGCTCTGGATGACCTCTTATTTTCTTTTCCTGCCATTTGTGTGATTCTCGTTCTTTCAGCGGCGGAGCAACCAAGGCACAGGAAGATATAAAAAACTTCAGGAGCATTTTTAATGTTGCTAGAAATGGTTATTTTTCTCAGGGAATGAACAAGGATATTTCACATTGTTTCTCCAAGAGAAATCTTATACTCTTGCCCAACCTCCAATAAATTTTTTGAGAAAACATCCTTTTGCTCTCTTTCTCTCTCAGAACAGATATATCTTAATGAAGTTTCTCTTTATAGTACATGTATATGTGTTTGTGTGTGAGAGACAAATAGGATTTCTGCCTCTGACACGAGTACACCATGTAGTACAAGAGACTCTCGGACATGTGCTTTCAGCACAGAATGACGTTTTTCATCTTTGTGCAACCGAGCGAGCGTAGCAAATAGTAATTGTTAACGGTAGTACAGATGATGAATACAAAACTGCAAAGCACTAATAGGAACCAGAATAGTAAACTACCCCCAAAAATTACCTCTTTTCAATTTCTACCAGCAGTTTTGTGATACTAATTTAACTGAATTGAAGCTGTCGACTAGTCATTCCAGAATCATTAAGTACTTTCTGTTCTTGCCAGTTCTCCATCAGAGGCCCTACTGGGGTCTACAGTATGATAGAGAACCCACTCCTGCATGTGTGGATCAGCTCCTGTAAGAGGCCTGTGACAATTTCAGCGTTCTTCCAAAGCAGGAGCTCTTTCTCATGCATCTGTACACACAGTATGTTTTCCAGGGAAATGACAAACTTTAGTCAAATGAAATGTGATCAGATTTTTACAAGGAAAAGATTTTATTGGAAGCAAAGAATGTACCATGCTTGGCTGGCCTCCTCTCCTCCGTTATCTCTTACCCCTGCCCCAAAGAAGAAACATCTTCAGGAGAGTCACATTTCAAATGGCCTGGATGCCTGCCATCAACCTTCCATACATTCAGAAACATCATCTAACGATGTGTAAACCAGATTTGACGATTCATCATTTAACTATCACCATAAAAGTGGTAGTTAAATAACTAAAATACATATTCTTTTTTCCAGTTGGCTTCTTGTCCATTTTATTCTTGGCCTTCACAGAATTTCCTACAAGGAAATGTACCACATGGTAGCCAACTGCTGAGAATTATTGTTACTACATGGAGAACTTTTTCAATTTTGCACATAATCCTTTCTAAAGTTGTGTAATAACTCTGTCCATGGGATTAAGCTGAAGTTTCTTGTAGTAGAATGAAGTAAAAGGAAACCTTAAACGGTCACACTCATTTTTCCATGTGTTCTTTTCTAACAAAAAATATGACATTTTCTTTAGCCATGTTTTAGCAAAAGGGCCTCATTCTGCTTTTGTGTATTAGGCATTCAATATGAGATTTACAAAACTGGAAACAAAGACACTGAAGAAGGTTCTGAAACCTCTTTCAGTATGATGTAGTTAAACAAGATGACATGTTTTAGGAAGGAATACTATGTTTTCAAATTGTTCTATGCCAGAAAAAGCAAATTAAATTTGCAATGTTTCAATGTATTGCCAGTGATCAAAAGCTAGTAAAGCAATATTACATGACACAATATTAATAATGCCATTTGTTCGGGTAAATTAATGCCCGAGTTGACGTGCGTGATATTTACAGCCTCATTGGCTTCCAGAGTTGTAGAGTCTCACAGTCCAAAAACATGCAAACTGTTTATTAGGAAAAAGTCAATATTGGACCAACCCTATCCTTGCAAATATTCCTCTATCTCATTCATTTGCAGTGTTTTCTTACCAGACTAGTCCTCATCCTGTAGAAATAACAAATTAATTGGCTGACAAGGAACAGCTTTCTCCTGGACATGGAAATACATACAGCTGCCAAATAAAATACAACTTTCATCCTCTTCTTCTTGAGGAACTGCTTAAGAAGTTCCTTCAAGTGCTTTTCTCCTTTTGGTTAACACACAAATTTTTATTTTATCATTTCAAAACCCATAACTTTATGATGGCTTTCCAGAAGAGAATTTAAATTAAGTTTGATTTCACACCAGTGTGCATGTACTATATCACTGCATATTATAGGGATTCAGATTTCCTTAAGGTATGGAGCTGAATTGTGCTCCAAGTTCTATTGCTGCAACTCTGCTGACCCCACTGTTGCACTGAAAAATGTCTTCCAATAAAAGTTGCATAAATAAAAGTTGATGCTATTGAAACAGACAATCTTAAAGAAGTTTCCAATGTGAAAGAAAAGCAAGCCAGACAAAAAAAAGGCGAGAGTTTTAAATGTTTTCATTCACAAGTTGTCCAGGGAAAGTTATGCCTAGTATGAACATTCATTTACTGTCTTACAAACAGTTACATACCCATGGTATGTAATTACACTCGCATGTATCTTAACCTACTTCTAGGAACAAATTGATTTCCTAAATGCTTCTGCACCATCTTAATCATGTCACCTGTATATTGCTACAATGAGAATACATGTACCAAAATATTCAGCCTTCAAACTAAGAACTAATTTTATGGATGTGGATGCATAGCATATATTCTTCACTAGCTGTCTAAATTACCTGTGGTCTGATCCTCAATATCCAGTCACTGAATATTTTGCTTTGGTATTTTTGGAGGATTCAGTCCTTCAGTGTTTCATAGTTGGCAGCGAATCTTAGCAGATATTTAATCTTATTCAGGTTAGATTTGGACTCCTCACCAGGAAGCTCTGGGGACTGTGTTTTGTGTGTAGATGTGCAACCATCCTGGGGAACAGGGCCCTAAGTTTGGCTTGGGATCTTCAGATGCTCAAGTTATACCGGTAGATACACACGGTGGTCATAAGTTTCCTGATGCTTCAGTGTTGGTTATGTGTAACCGGCATTTTTCTTATTTTCTGTTTCTAGGAATTTGTCATGATTGTTGTCTTTGGTTTGGAATTTATTATTCGTATCTGGTCTGCTGGATGCTGTTGTCGCTACCGAGGATGGCAAGGAAGACTGCGCTTTGCAAGGAAACCATTCTGTGTAATAGGTGAGTGTCCCAGGTCTAGTTTATTTTAAGATAAAAATAAAAGCCCCCCACTTCTGTTTTGCTTCTGAATGAAAACTAATCGAATCAGACTCTGTTTGCAGGAACCAAGTGTAAATCCAGAATAGCTGTGTGTCACCTGTCATCTGCCCAAGGCTTTTCTAGATGTAAAATCACAAAGTCCCTAAATGCCAGCCAGGCCATGTTTCTTACGTTCTCCAAAAGACATCTTCCTATGCACATCATACAGCTGGCATGTATATTGGAAGAATGAGGGACTGAGAACCAGTATCCTTGAAAATCATGGGAGCTGTATGCATTTAATGGGCATGAATATTAGACATCTTGTGTATACATGTGCGCATACCATGAACATATGTGCACACATTGTGTTCTCCTTATTTAACTTCTGTGATCAGACATGTGTATACTGCAATATGTTTGAAAACCTACCTGGAAATATCTTCTGACAACATTGCTGTTTCCTGCATTGCTGTTCTCTGCGTGACAGTCCAGGTATCTGCGCTGCTGGTGACTCTGGCTTAGGATGTAGCATACTTCTGCAACTATTCAAAAGACTCTTCCTCCCCTTCTTTGCTCTAGAAATTCTCTCTGAGAATGGTGAATAGGCCCACAACCACTCAGAACCCTATTTTTAAAAAGAACCTGTGGGAAAACAATTTCCCAATAAAGGTAGAATTCAAGGATGGCTAACCAAATTAATCTGATAATTTCTTATTTTTCTAATGGTTTGGAGCAAATGCTTTTTAGAGAGTCATAGAATCATAGAATGTTTTGGGTTGGAAGGGACCCCTAGAGGTCACCCAGTCCAACCCCCCTGCAGTGAGCAGGGACACCGCTAACTAGATCAGGTTGCTCAGAGCCCCGTCCAACCTGGTC